GATGCACTGACTGACATCCCTCCTCTGCACTTTAGCATACAAACAGCTATACATAAAGGTTTCTAATTACCGTAAACAAATTAGTATTTATATAATACTATTTATGTCAGACTCCAATTAGTTCCTATGACAAGATCCCCCAAGGTAACGATAAAAATTCACAACAAAAAATTTACTAATGGTTTTATTATTTTCGTTAACTATATGTAATTTTGACTAACCCCTGAATTTCGATTCAATCGACTCGTAAATGACTACAAAGTGTCTTATTTATCAGTTGTTATCGTACAACAATGAAAATTAAACATTTTAAGCCGTTGTTATCAATATATTGATGTTGTTTATTATCCATACATTTTTAAGCGACAAACAATACTCGCTTACAGACTATGATCAATCATTGATACGTCAAAGTAACCTCCGGGATGGTCTTCTTAAGAAAATAATTCGTGTAATTCACATATTCATAATCCTTTTAAACTCTCCCAATAGTTTCTTTTTTATTTCCCACTTTTGAAGTTCGTTTTGCATAGCTTAGTTAGCTAATAGCTTAGCTTGAGTATTGGATCAGCAAGGATCTTTAAGTTGTATCAATAGGAATTTAAGTGACACAAAACAGTCGGTACATGTTTACATACATATACGTAATATAATTGTTAGCATTGCCAGAAACATTTGTTAACACCTACGAGACATCCATGACCTAACCCTAATTATTTCTATAATATATGTTTCTATTTTACTGCCATTTAATATTTTGCATTAAGAATTATAAAGATAAGAGAGGAACGACAATATAGCCATTTTATTTGTATATTTTATATGTTTATTTCCATTGTCAGGGAGGATGGACGCCTCTGATGTGGGCGTCGTACAAGGGACACGACGAAGAAGTAGCATTATTATTGGAGAAAGGAGCAGATGTGCATGCCCACGGAAATTATAATATCAAGTAAGTGTTCTCGCTTTTATATGTCAGGTAATAAATCTTACTAATGTTATAAATGCGAAAGTTTAGATGGATGGATGTTTGTTAGAATTTGTAGCCTAAACAGCTGAACGGATATTTGACATAGACGTAGAGGATAGTCTGGAAGAATACATAGGCTACTTGCTTTTGTTTTTTTTTATACGTATTTGCGGGAAACAGCTGGTGTGCATTAAAACAACAACGAAAGACATTAATCTGGAGGATTGGATCTCGGTGAACCGACATAGAATGAGATGAGGATAGAAAGGGTAATGTTAGAAGTGATACTGTGACGTAATCATACGAAAACAAATTTGTTTATTATTGAATGTCACATGAGCGCGATGGTGGTTCGTTTTAGCGCCAAAAGTGTCTTTTCTATTAAAATCTACTGCAGATAAACGACTATAATTTATTTGATTAATAATCAAGTAAGGTCATACGCCAAATGTTAAGTATTTTATTTGAATATCTGTTGACGGAAGTATTTCTCATACTAGGACTGTACGAAGCAACCCTTTATGCACATTTAAAATATCAATTGAGATATGATAATAAATGTATTAGCTAGTAGGGTCATTATAAGCCCATTTAGCGCATAACGTCTTGACACAGTTCATGTATGTAAATATGCATAAAACACATTTTTTTTTATTTAAAAAATACTATTCCAAATTCTTTATTAAGATTCTGTAAATTGACTCGACATTAATGATATAATCTTCGAAACAAATCTCCGCTTCCTTTCGAACACTATCAATATTAAAATTTTGTACTTGAAAACTCCGGAAACAATTTTTTTCCTTATATTTTCTGAGTATATGTGAAATGTTTGTAATGTTTTACATTTGCTAAAGACCGGAATTGTCGACTAGAAAGAGTACCTTGAACAATTTATATTTAGAGTTCACTGTTTTACTAATAACTAGTATTCTCTAAAAATTAAAAATACACGTTATGTAAATAACTGGGCATTCATTACTTTGGTTTTTTTTACGCCAGTCTTATATTATGATTTTCACCGGCCAGTTCACAAAAATTGCAAGGAATTTTGTATATCCTTGAAACATTATAACAGGAGGATGTCTAGAGACTTCTAATTTAAAGTATCCAAAGAGATGCATCATGATGTTGGTCAACTATCTTACGAAAGTCTGATCTTGTACATGTTTTATGCAACGTGCGATTACAAATTTCTCCTCCTCAAACGTTGCGCTCTTCTTAAATCAAATGAATTATAGAACATTTGAAACAAATTCAAGGTGCTCGTCTAGCCTATAAATTCAAAGTAAGCCATCTGCAGTAATAGGCACTAGAAATTACAATATTCACATGAGTTTGT